AAAACCTCCCCCCCACCTCCCTCCAAAAAAGAATTCTTTTCCTTTTTATGTATATTTTTAAGGATTTTGCCATAGGTTGTAAGAAAAAGAGAGGGAAAGTGAAAAATCACACACACACCCCTGCCAGGAGGGAGAACCACACTGCAATCCCTTGTCCTCTCAATATTTTGGGCACACATGTGTACACATGCCCCGTGTGATTTTTCAAGCCACCAGGACCAGGATGTGAACTTTAGTCAGACAAGTAGGAATCCAGCACCTTAACCACCATGCCACCTGCTGACCCAAAGAATTCTTTTTCTATTCACTGATTAGAAATACTATCTTTACTATGCACTAAATTTTCACAAACATTACAATTTATTTCTAGACTCTTCAACTTTTTTCACTACCTACTTGCTTAATTCCTTAATGCCAGTGGCACGATGATATAATTATTGACATTATATGCCATCATCCATTTTCCCATCAGGGTATTTTCAATATTTTTTTAAGTTTTTTGACTACTCACATTTATTTTTCCTAGATCAACTTACTTAAGTTTACCCTCAGAGGTGGTGAAAATAAAAAAAAAACCCTCAGAGTTTTTTAGTCCAAATTTAAATAAACTATAGATAAAATGAAAAAAAATGCTATTTAGAAAAATACTGAGATTCCTATCCAGTTAATAATCAGATGTATAAAGCTCCCTACCTAAACACACACACACACACACACACACACACACACACACGAATACACGTACCCAACATTTTCCCGTGACTGTGACTAGGACCTGGCTCCACAAAAATGAAATTCCTTTATTTGTAAGGTTAAAAAAAAAAAAAAAAAAAGGAGAGAGAGAGAGAGAGAGATTTGCCACAGGGTACGTGCACTCACCGGAGACACAGAGAGAGACAAAGAGAAAAAGGAAGAAATCACCTCACAGGGGGAGTAGCCATGTTGCAATCCCTTCTCCGTTCTCCTCTTGGGATTTTGGGCATGCACACACACATCCCCAGCAAGAGTTTCAAGCCACCAGGACTAGGACTCGAACCACGGTCAGTCACGTGGAAGTCCAGCAACATAATCATTACACCATCTGCTGGTCCCAACGTGTCCATTTTTAAATCAGAGAATCTTAGAACTAGTGGACGCTTCATAAATCACTTAAGTCAGTACTGCTTATAATCCGAGTCATATTTTTGTCAAGCCTCCTTAAAGGAATCATTTCAAAAATAAAACGAATTATATTTTTACATGCAACATAATCATAAAAATATTATTTACATCACATAAAATGCAAAGAAGGCACGTACTCTAGAGAAGCTAAGTGAATTCTTCTTTTACTCTGTGAAATAGAATGAGGCAGTAACACATAAAAAATTATATTAATTAAAAGACAGATTAATGATTTGCCCATGACATCATGACAGTAGATAAAATTTTGTCAAAGGACTGTTGTTTCTTTATTTTTATTTTATTATTTATTTATTTATTTTTATTTGACCAAAGACACAGAGAGAGAGAGAGAGAGACAGAGACAGAGACAGAGAGAGAGAGAGAGAAAGCATGCCACCAGGTCTGAGACTTGAACCGCCGTCAGTTATGTGGGAGTCTAGCCCCTTAACTACCATACCACTGGCTAGCCCCCAGGACTGTTGCTTCTAGACAGAGAACTGCCCACATACTAAGAACCCTCAAAAGGTGGCACAAAAACAAAGAAAGGACAATAAATACACTGAAGGAAATCACTTCATCCAACAAGTCAGTATGCAAATTAAATTACACTGTTTCTAACATCAAATCTCCAAGAAAATTGTCTCACTTTCTAATAACAACACATTGTACTAAAGTGAAGCCTGATGTGACTCATATTCCTAGTATGAGTGACTCATATGCCTGCTGTCCCTCAGAAAAGCACCTGAAACACAGAGCGCCCTAAACCATATAGTAAGTTACAGGTTTAGTAATTAATTAGTAAGGGGAAAGCACGCATTAAAAAGACTTTAATCACACACCAGGGTTGTGCAAGAGCAGGTGCATGACCCCAAACCGTTCTACACAACTACTCTTCCAGGCTCCAATTTTAGCCCAGTCAAAAACGCTTCCTTTCATCCTGTAGTCATTTGGTGAAAGAGAGGTGAAGTATTTACCATCACTTGCAGAAGTGCACCACCTTAATGTCAAGGGAAAGTTTCCTTAAATAGGAACTGTGTCTTGTCCATGCAAGACTCAAATAATTTCACAATTTGGAAAAAAAAAAAAAAATAGGGCATGTGAAGTGACGGCTGTTCATGTTTTAATGAAATCAGTTTTGACAATGTACAACTTCACTGACAACTGTTCTTAGAAATGTAGCCCAAATCAAATGATAGAATTCCTAGACCTTAACCTTTGTCATGTGACCAAATGAAACAGCAAACCTTATGTAGCAAATACGATTAAGAAAAAAAACTCCAACCCTAAAAGATCTGCAGTAAAAACTGAGATGATGTGTACAGGCATTGACAAGCAATTGTTTGCCAAGAGATTAAAACAAGAAAAGAAGAAAAACCGTTCTCTCAAGTTTCTACATTGGAACACTTTCAACGCAAGCAACACACCTAGCAGGGATTAAAGAGCAGATCTGGCTCCTGGAGTTATGGCAAGAAAACCAACCTACTGGGAAAAAAATTTGAAAAGAAAAATTCTGCCTCAGTTAATACTGCTTTGGAAGTATAGCTATGTTAGAGGAAATAACTTAGCTGAATTAGCATGTCTTTTAATACCCTAACTTTATGAAATATTTAGATATATTCTAATCTTAAGAAGGACTAAAAAAACATTAAGACATATTAAAATCACCGGCATCTTTTAAAAACATATATATCACTGCAGACCTTGAAAATTAAATGAAGATTCAGGCAGGAAACTATTTAAACAACTACAAAAAGCTAAGATTATACTTCAAATGTACTTTTCGATTTGTCCTCAAATGTGATCTTCTACTTTGCCCAGCTACAACTAAGGTTTAGGTGAATGGGACGGGGAAGAGAAACGATTCTATTCTTTCTAAGGACTGTGAAACTGAACTCCAATTTAGTTAAGTCCCAAAAGCTTACAGCCAGTCAACGTCTAGGACAGATTACATTAAAAACAATTCCCTCAGGAATTTTAACCTGACATCGACATTTTTGTGGCCCACACTTAAAGTCTAAGGCATGGAATTAGGTAACTTTGGCTTGTTCAGCAGAAGCCTAGTTATTAAATACATGCTGTTTAATTGTACTAATATTTCAAAATCTCTTTCCACCAAATTTAGGGCCCGCTCTCCCTTCCTTCTTTGCATCTTAACCAGCACATATGGAAAAGGGGAAAAAAAAAATACCTTCAATGCCAAACATATCACTTTTGGTTCAGTATGAACTGGATGTTGGGGAGTATTTTCAGATTTAAATTTCAAATTCAAAATCAAAAAATTTCAAAATTTTATTTGAACTCAAGCTACATTCATTAACAGCTACCCATCAGCACTTTTTCTGTTTTATTCCCTTTTCTTATAAACTTATCAGAAAAAAAATTGTCTGCAGACAAATGCAGATAGAGTACATGTTGCTTGGTTTGTTGTAGGAACACCAGTAAACAACTCTGGGAGGACTAAAGAAATCACGTACCACTCTTCCTCAGTTCCCCTAGCCTGAATTTCCATGTAGATTCTGCAGGACAAAATTCTAACATTCACTCCCACTTAAATTTGACTTAATTCAATCCCAGTCTTTCTGAAACGTTCTGATTTAAAATTCTGAACAGAGATCTGACAAGCCAATCAAAATATAATAAACTTTATTTCAGCTAACCTGAAGACATATGCAAGTTACCTAAAAGGCTAAGTGCCTAAAATCCTACCAGAGGTAGGAGTCAGGACTGGCAAAATGTCTTCTCAAAG